TCTTGAGATATAGTAATTTAGTTAGATTTTCTATAAACACCACCTCACTTATCGTATGTGCTCAAATGTTTCGTTTGACAAAACTCAATGTTTTTAATTTTAGATACAAATTCGTTTGCTCACGAAAAGATTAACAATTTCTCATTTTTAATGCTGACAATTTGGGATGATTTGGCGCTGTGTTGAAATAAGTGAAACATTTCGTTGTTGGTATGATTTTTACGTAGGATTCAACAAAAAAATATATATATAAATTGAAAAAAAAAATAGAAAATTAAATAAATAAATTTTATAAATGTATATTAAAAATTTTTGAGAATACTGAATACTGAAATAATAAAAGAACATCGAGTAAAACGATTTGTTTCATGCCACAAGTGATTTAATTTCTGTTGTTGCAAACACGTAAATATTTGCTCATACAAAATATAATAAAAATAAAGATTGAAATAAAAATATGATAAAATTATAAAATAAATACAAATAAATTTATTTGTAATGAATTTGTTTATATATCTATAATTTCGTAGGTATTTATAATGCAAATTTAATTTTGTACGAATTTTTTCATGCCACCGCGTTTGTTGCAACAGCTGTTGCCTGTTGTTTTTATTGTGATACTTGGCCTGTTATTCATTTCAGTTCTGCACTGCAGTAGATAAGAGAAGATTAAAAAGGGATACTTCTAACAAACGTAAAGGTATCAAGTTAAATTTAATATTACTTATACTACTTGCCTTACTTATACTCCTTGATAAATCAATTCTATGGTATAACTGATCTTACGATAAGAAGAAATTTATTAAATTAATTTATACAAATGAACACACCATTCAATGTTCCATAACGTATTTCCGCAAGCCACAAATTCATAAGAAGTCAACAAAATACAGTGAAGATGAACTCTCAAGTTAGACATTGGACATTCACTTATGCGTACTCCTAATAGTGGATCTCTAGTAGCTTTACTTTTGGCAGGATAGAATTTTAGACAAAGTCTCATTTTTTTACTAATACATGCAATCTACAGTGAAAATGGACTCCTAATACTGGATCTCTAATGGCAGAAAGGAAATTTGGACAAAGTCTCACTTTTTTACTAATACATGCAATCTACAGTGAAGATGGACTCATAATTCTAGATCTCTAATGGCAGAAAAGAATTTTAAATAAAGTTTCACTTTTTTATACTAATACATTGAATCCAGTTACACGTTGGATAATTTACCTAATCACACTTCTAGTTCTGGGTCTAAATTGGTTTTACTTTTGGCAGAAAAGAATTTTCTACAAAGTCTCATTCTTAAACTAATATATACAAATTCTTATTAATAAACGAAATTCGAAAATAATATGTACTTACATATAAATATTTTTAAACTTAAGCTAGTATAGACACCCAGGTAAAATGCAGCGCATAGTTTCTGTTGTGCTCTGACTATAAAGACAAAGTTTAATTAAGTTACAATGACAAATTCAGGCTATTGACTCACCTAATAATGTCTTCTGGTTCCATACCCAAAGCCGCATTTGAGGTCTATACGTCAATAACTGCAAGGGAAATCCAGTACTTCTCTGAGATCTTTTGTATTATTAAATAAATTTCAAGTACATAATAAAAGAGCACGTTTGAAGTATTAAATTACTTATAAGTCTTATAAGCCTTGCAAACCTTTATGCTTTGCAACCCAGAGATGTCTTCAATAGAGCCTAGAGATACTTAAAGATAAATACAATATATATTAATGAATTTAAGTGCATATCTTATTTTATCTTCTTATGATCCAGGTCGATACCTATAGAACAATTGAACTATAGGTAAGTATATATTCAAGCTTATATTAATAAAGTTTCTAATGAAAACTCTACATTTTTGTACTTTAAATATATATTTATACATATAAAATTATTATTTATATTATTTATTATTTCCATACTCCATTCGGAGCTAAGAAGTCCATAAAAGTTTTCCATTGATTTTTATTTTGTGCTATTCCTCTCAGCTCGTTAAACGTTTTACCAGTCTCCTGCTAAACTGTCTTTCTCCAGGACATTGCTGGTCTGATATATAAAATTATACTTATTTTAAAATAAATACCATAAACATTTATTTTAAATCATATAAAATAATTACTCATTCAATTGAAATCACTGCTTAAAAACAATATTTGCTGCCCATTTATCATGAGCATACGCCTGTGCCTGTGATACATACGTAAAATTTTCTGTAAAAATTGTCACATTCATGGCAAATATGTTAACATTTTATTAGCGTCAAAATGTATTTTTAGTTTAAATTAAATTAAACGTATAAATTTTCAAGAAATATTATTATCAAATTTGCTAAATCTCAGTTGCGAAAGGACACGAAGTACACGCAGGTCTTTAATTGCACTCAAATCAAATCAAATATATTGCATGCTTATTACATATGCAATAAATTATGTACCCCGATCTAATCAGTACATAAAATAGAAGAAGAGAAGAATAGAAGAATGGCGGTATTGGATCTCTCTGAATAAGTTAAATCACATGAATTTATAGCAGAACCTTGACTTGACAGTTTTGTTCTGGTCTGTCGCACTTTTATAAAAAATATATAAAAATTCTTTTCTTTTCAAACATTTAACATATTCTAGTCTTTAATGTGTGGATTTGTTTGGAATTTATTAGTTAATACTTCAATATTCCGTCTACTATTTATCTTCAAGATTTCTTTTCCTTCAAAAGACTCATAAATCATACTTCTTTAAAGATAAGTGCTAATATCAGACGTTTCGGCATGTCATTTTTTTCATCTTTCGAACTATATCTGCTAACACAAAATTGTTCTGTCATTTTATATTAAAATTAAAATGTTATTTTTTATATTAATTTATTTAAAAAAATAAAATAGAATAAAATATAGAAATAATATTTTTAACATATCAATTGATTTGAAAAAAACTGAAATCGAACAGTAGGCAAGTTGTGTCATTCGGTGCGTATGAGCAATAAAATTATGCAAGCAGCGGATGTAGAGCTGAGTCAGAAACAGAAGACATATGCTAATAATATATATCTTTAAGAACTTTTTCCACCTACCTTATATTTTTTTTATATATATAATGTTTATAATATAATTGAAAATATATTTAACGTAACGTAGATTTTATGACATACAACAATAAAATGTATCAAAAACGGTTTTGAATGTGCTTTGTTTTTATATATATTATAAAAACATGAATTGATTCATAAATAATTTATAAAACCTTTCAGTGCTAACAGTTAAAGCTAAGAGCCCTAAAATGATTTTTTGGGACAGTACAATACAGATCTTTTAAAAAAAATCCACTTAGGTTGATGTTGATTCAACCTAAAACCTTTCAGTTCTACAAGCTAAAGTCAAGACCCCTCGATGAAGTCATTATTTAAAAGCTGAAATTATCATGATTTTTTGGGATCGTACAATACAGATATTTTAAAAAAAAATCTACTTCATCAACATATTAGTTGATTTTAACATTTAAATTATTATGATCTAGAGTATGGTAATAAAATTGTGTCAATCAGCTATTTGGATAGAAGATACGACTCTCTCATCAATAAGACCAATTTTGTTTGATATTAGTATTAAAAATACATTCTAATGTCGTTCTCGATTAATAAATTTTAGGTAACTTCTTCAATCGAGATTCACTTCTTTCATTTCACTTCATTTCATTTCGATTGGTAAATTTGGAATGAAATGTATAACACTCGAGATTAATTTATAACACTCTAGATATTTTGGAAGGGTAGGAAGATTATCCTGAAATTAACGGCTGTTTTATAGACTTAAAAAATGAAATATGATTTGTTTCAATATATGTTTTAATAAAATATATAAATATCTACTAATACTACTGCAAAAATGTTAGATTAGTCTTAAAATGTACGATTGAACAAGAAAATTGGGGCAGTTTGAGAGTAAAACTAGATTAAATCCTTATTTATCAATTGAAGACGCCATAACTCTGTTTTACATATATATTTTTTGTTGCCTAGTTTAGGGATTTACCTTTAATATGTTTGGTAATTTTAATTGAAAGAGATTCTACAAATATATTCCTACTGCCAAGAACATCAAGAACTATTTATCTTGATGCATTGAAAATCTAATTATTCTTTTTGCAAAAACCCCAGTATTCTCAGAAGGACTTTTATTATCATGATACAATACTTTAATAAAATGGATTGGTAAAAAATGTGTGAGGCTTAACAAAAGAGGTGACTGGAAAATTTTGAAAAAATATCTATGATACACTATTTCACAAATAAAATATAGAAATAAAGTATTTTATGTTTTCCAGTGTATGCGACTTATATATGTACATCTAGTATATTCGCGATATATATGATGAATTAGTGAAAAACGTGTTAGGGATACAAAAAAAGGGTAGTGGCGAAAATATCAAGGAATTTCTATGTTCTTCTACTTCACAAATGGAACATAGTCGATGAAATAAACTTCGAAAATATCACAACGAAGATGAGGCTTTCTGAAGAAAACTGAACCGCCATACACCGTTTCGTTGCAATCATATTCAAGCGGAAAAAAATATGATCTCGAAAATTAATAATTTCGAAGAAAAGGTAAACAAATAAAAGGCCTGGACGCAGGCTATTGAATAAATTTTTTAATGGATAATCAACACAGGGACTCCACCTTGAAGTATTCCCAATAAAGTTGAGAAGTAGAAACGGTCTGATACAGGAGCTGGATTGTTTTTAATCCATGCAATTCGCGCTATCCTCTATTGTGAGAGTATAGTAACGGTGTCTTAGGCATTTTTAGACCTTCTCTTCGCACCAAAAAAAAACTAGTTTACCAATTATATTCAGAAGAAAAGCTTACTAAAATATTTTAAGAATTGTTCTATACCATGATGTTAAAATGGATTAGTGTTATATGTGTCAGAGAGAGTGCAGAACTTTTAAGGAATCTTATTACTTCTTTCGAAAATATTAAGTTTAAAGTCTTAAACAACTTTACTTGTTATTAAAATGGATTAAGAATTAATGCCGAAAAGAGTGGAAAAGTATTAAGGAACTTTACTACTTCTATGTCATCTCAATCCATTGAGCTCAGAGTACTCTGTTTCAACGCGAATCATGACAATCATATGTATTTTGATACAATAAACTTGAAAATACATTTTAAACATTTATTATGTATAGGTTTTCAAGATCTAATGGGGCTTTGATTTCTTTTATAATTTTTTTCTTATACAACTTCATATGCCACAGGACACATTTAATTAAAGGTGATCAAATCTCTAATAATTCTTTTTAACATTATTTTCCAATCAATTTAGTAAGTCAAGTAATATGCAGTAAAGTAAATAGGACACTATATAGTAAGATAGGCAAATTCTCTAAAATAGTATAGTAAATCAAAAAGTTATCATCATTGAAAGATATAAACGTGGACTCATTTATGGAATTCTAACTTTTCATATATTAAGCCTATTTTTACGAAAATAAAAAGTTTCTAAAAATAAGAAGATAATCCATGGATAAAATGGGTACTAGTCAAAATGAGTGCTGCTTACTCCCAAGATAATACCTAAAGAACCTTAATTAAATGAATATCTTATATATTTTTATTAAATAATATAATTTATTAAAGTCTTTGTTTATTAACCTTATAAACTAAATACATTTCTGATAATAAAATTATTTAAATTAACTTAAAATTATTTTGTTTCATTGTCCACAGTTTTCTTCTTAAGTCTGGTGCAATAGTAACGATCGCTGTTCTCAATCCAATCGCAAACATTGAGGATTGTATGGAAAGCGGTACCTTCTTTGCACTCAAATTCGACTGGTTTGCCATGTACGCAACGATAATACTAAATATTAAAATAATAATTATAAAATAATAATTATAATCAATATAAAAAAATAACAGATATATTTTAAAAGATAAAAGATATCTTGTATTTATGTATATATAATATTATTAATCGTATAAGTCGTATAAGTTGGGATAAATATTCACCTTTTGACAATCTGGATGAGGTACATAATCTCTATTGGTACAATCAATGTTAACATCATTTTGTTCTGGATCTGGTTGTGTAATTTCTGGATCTTTTTGCAGAGCTGCTTCGGTTGTTGTTGTTGTAGTTGTAGTAGTACTTGTTGTAGGCTTTGGTTTTGGTTTTGGTTTCGGTTTCTTTGAAACTTTTGCAGGTTTCTGTAGAGAGTGAAAGAAAAAAACACTTAATGCGAAACACTTAATATCAAATGTAAAGAAATCGGTAAATGCCAATAAAATATTCGATCTATTTCAGTGTCAATGTCGATGTCAGTCTGTCAACGGTTCAAACAAGTGCGATTTTCTCTTGCACTTTGTTTAAATGCAACGAAGCGTTCGTTGCACTCTGACTTAGTTTCTTTATTCTCGAAATAAATTGTTGCATTTTCAATCGAACGTGAATTTAAATTAAAAATAAATTTTTCGCGTTTACACATAATTTTTTAACATTTTTATTGGCAGCAATAGAAGTGTCGATTATTGCTGAATTTACATAAATGTATCTTTTTTTGAGTTCTCCAACATTTTCTATTTTTGACGAAGCTTATTAATACAAATGCAGGGCAACTAAAAATAAGGTCCGTATTTGTGAGTAGAATTTCTATTTTGCGGCTGAGAAATTTTTTGGCACAGATGACTTTTATGCTATAAGGTGTTGCTAAATTAAAAAATTATTTATTATTATATATAATAATAATTTTTTAAGCAATCTATTTACATAAAAGTATACGAAGTTCCTACTTTAATATGATTTAAATAATTAATTTTAACAACTAACTTCTTAAAGGTCTCCAATAGAATTTATCGCGTTTAATAAAATTATATTGTAGCAAAAAAATTATAGAGAGAGGTACATATCTCATATATATATATGTAATACATATTTTTGTAGCTTACTTTTGTTGTTGTTGTTGCTTCAGTGGGCCGAACTGTTGTTTGTTGTGGTTTCGGTATCGGACGTTTCGTGGTGGATGCAATGGGCAGATTTTCTTCATCCGGATTTGGCGGTGTTGCGGGTGGCTTTGCCCACTCAGGCTGTATTTTAATTAAAAAAGAATAGTGCGAAAAATTCAAAATACCTCAAAACAATAAATTATAAGCAAATCATTTGCAATTAAGCAAATTTGGCAAGCGGCACTTACAAATTATTTCATTTTGTATGTGCTGCTTTGATAAATTAGATAAAAATAATTTATTCGCCACACTTGGTGGATTTATTTGTGTTAGACACTTACCCTAGGCGTTGTTTCGCGTGTTGGTTCTGGTACGCGATAGTTTCGCATATTATCATGTAGTATATGCATAAGAGAATTTTCACGACCGCATAAACCATGGAAATCATCCATATCTACAGCCCATGTCATAGCGCCAGCATAACCTTTCTCCTTAATGAAGTCCATTTTTATTTGCACCGATACTTCATTCTCATATCCCACCCATTGTGTATCTTTGTAGGTATATGGTACCATACCTTGCTCATCCCATTCAACTGTCCAGCCTTTTGCTTTATCATTTACTTCTGTACAAATTTCGTAATAAGCTAGGAAACCACTAGCGTTTGTGTAAGGACCGGGAGCACCACCACCTGCCTCTTTATTAATGTATGTGCCCATGTTATAGTTTTTATTTGAATTACTTAATGTGTAGGTGCGTCCATAAAATGGTATGCCTACGACTAATTTATTAGCTGGACAGCCCATATCTTCCCAAAGTGCTAAACCATCATTCTATGGAAATGTGAGGATTTTTGATAAATGAATAAAAATTGTTAAAAGTAAAATTAAATTTAAAGAAAAATAAAAATCAAGAATATTAATTAACAAATAATTATAATGTAATAATTAATAAGAACATGGATATATATATATTTAAGGTAAATTTTTTCTTGCCGATAATGGCGTGTCTTTTTATGACGAAAGAAATTATATACGGACTATAAACTAATTAAATAAAATTCGATTATTTCCAAAGACCACTGATGAAGAGTACTTGGCAATACTCGAAACAGCGATGTATGGTCAGCCAAATTTCAATAAATTAAATAAAAAAATTTTTGTCTTTGCCTTTCTTTGCTATTCGAATCGGTCTAC